GGCTTCGGCGGCGGCCGCAGGCTGCGTCCGGGCCTGAGCGCCCAGCGCCCCCCACCCCGCGAAGCCCCCAGCCAGTCCGCAGGTGCACGGGCAGGGCTCTTCTGCACTCCCAGATACCTGGGGCTTCTACCTGTCCAGCCTCCCTTGACTGAATTGCTGGGGAGCCCGGCGTCAGGGGGCGCCAAGGAGCCAGGGGGAAAACCGTAAGGCGCTGTCTTGAAGCCTCCAAGCGGTGGCATCCCCACCTCCCACCTCCCCGCGCCCCGCCCAGAGGTTGGGGCTTTGGAAGATGCTGCCGGGTGAGCTATTGCTGGCGGGGGGGTCCCTGGCACGTTAAGCGTGGACATCGGGAAGGGCCTTTCCTGGGAATTGGGGTCCTCCAGGAATGGGAGGCCCAGCCCTCTCCAACCCCCTCTCTAAACTAGGAATGCTCCACAGTCGAACGCTTGGGTCTGCGGACGTGAACTATTTCACCCCCAAACTTGCTGCAGTTTCGCAGCTAAGAAATGGGCGCTTGAGATCCTCTTGTACCCCTGCGTTTAGCGCAAAACCTTGACTCATCTAGTGTATCTGAAAGGAGATTAGGGAACTGGCAGATGTAGGAAGCTGAGAGTCTGCTTGTAAGTATTTTGAGAAAAAAATTTAGGGAGTGTGAAGACTCCCTTACGCATACACCCCTTCTTGACTCGTTGCCCTCGTCCGTTTCTTCATAACCAACAAAAACTATTGTAGTTGATGGCCTGGAGATTTTACTGTGGTCGCTGATACCATGTCAGCGCAGAAGGTATGGCAGAAGCGTGCTGTGTGCCTTTCTGCGACCGCCGAGGCCCTGGCCGGGTGCGAAGCTGCTGCTGCAGCAGTCTGCGGCATCTTGCGGCCTTGACCGCTAGTGCGGTACCACGTTGTGCTGCTCCCAAAGCAATGCCGGCTTTCACTGCATGGAGCTGTCTTTTGCTGATTGCTTAATTATTCGCAACAGAAACTGCAATTACAGTGACAAGGTAACGCGATGCTGCATTTGTGAAATTTGTAGTAACTATTAATGTGAACTCTGGAACATCTAAGAGAACTGAAATAATTTGTGGTAAAAATCTAAGGTGTAAAATTCTGAAAAGCAGCTAAACAATCGATGGCAATACTATTTAAGTTTGTTATTTGCTTGCTGGATCTCAAAATCGGTGTTTTCCATTTATATATAGAAAACTATATATATGAAACCATTTGTAAAGTGCAGTAGCAGAAAAAGTTTAACCATTGATTTTCTTAAGTCCTTGAACATACTTTCATGCATAAGCATTAAAGGTAACTGCAAAAGGCATTGCATAATGCATTCTTAAATGCCAGCTGCATAAGTATGGGAATTAGTGGGTTAAGTTCTCCTATGTACAATTTGCTTCCTAAAACAAAATAAAGTTGTTGGCATGTTGCATCTCATTTGCTTGTTTTGGGTTAAAGGTGGAAGGCCCTTGTTTGCAGACACTGTATAAAAATGTTCAATGTCAGAGTACAAGCTGCAGGAACAGTCAGAATAGGCTTCTTAGGTCCCTGGCACTCAGGGGCTGACAGGTAGCACTGCATCATATGCACATTGCTCAGAGATTCCCCCATACTGCAGCCACCGCAGTGAGTGGTTGTATTCCTGTCCATTGTGCAGGGGTAACTGAAGAGAATCCTGAGAGCCTGCAGTGTGTAACACAGGGGGGAAAGGAGGAATTCCTTACCACATTGACTCAAAATGACCTGGTAGAGTGATTTAACACAACAACAAAACTGAATGAAACTTCTGCAAATATTAGGAGAAATAACTAATCAAATTTAGTGATCTTTATACTTATTGACTACAATTTTTGAGTGAGCTGAAGTGGCTCTAGGAATCCTTGAAGCATGTCTAAGCCCACAAAATCTGCATAGTAACCAATGTGCATGGAATTCTTCATTATTAACAACAAAAAAGCAACTAAAGGACAATTATAAATTTCTGAACTATTACTGTAGTATAGTTGGTATAGTCTGAATCTTGCTGCAGTCATTTATAAATATCAAATGCATACAAGAACATCATTTATCTCTCTAGGCTGGCAAGTGGTTTGTGATCTTGAAGTAGGCTTATTGAAATTTCTCTTCAGATGCATTCATTTCTGTTTTTTTAATCAATTATCTCAAGGATATTACTAACAAGCAAACCAATCACTGAAAGAATTTCATGTTTTGGTTGCATTGTTATTTTTTGATTTGCTTGTGGCTAATACATAATATTCTTCTCCAAATAATAACATATTAAGTGCTTCTTTCTGTGTGTTTTTGTTATGCCTGATGCATTGTGGAATTCAATAAATATTAAATCAGCCAATCAATCCTTTTTGGAAGTTAATTTAGTAAAACTCATATATTTTCTTTCTGCTAGGTTCTTATTAAAAAGAATAATTGAAACTGTATGAAAGTCACTAAAAAAGGTAAAGTCTGAGTTTAAATGTGGAAGAGGAAGGCCTGTGGCCAAATCTTGCACATAAAGAAATGAACATCAAAATTAAAGCATATGTAAATTTTTTATTTGTTATGATGGTGAGTTAACACTGTCATCTAAGAAAAGACAGGTGAGTTGAGAAAAATAGTTAAGAGAATTTTATATCAAGTATATACAAGATGAATCATCGTGCAGTCCTTCCTTTTGGATTCCCAGCCAAATTTAGAACACATGAACCAAATGAAACTTAAAATCTCAACTTTATTCAGGATAAGTCAGTTGAAGAACATGGCTTAGCTCCAAGCCCAAATGGACCATATTAATCCTTTTCTACTTACTTAGCATGTCCACCCAGTCACAGCCAAAGAAATCTCAGCCTTGCCAACACAAGGACAGAAGGTAAAATGAGCCACTCCACAAAGGCACACAGCATGAGTGCGTAAGAGACAGGTCAATGTATAAGAAGGGAATTTTTATACATCAGCCCTGACCATTAATGACTATAAAGTCTCTACAATTTCCCTCCATGCATCACTAAAGCACTCCTACTCCCAAAGATATGAATGAGTAAGTTGCTTTAATAAACCGGCAGAAACATCAGCAATACTTCCCTAGAGATAAAAAGTTGGGCACAAATTCCCAGATTTTTAATCAGGAAGAAGAAAAGGACCCACCTAAGCTGGGTAGGGACCAATTAAGAGAAAGGGAGAAATTAGGACATGTGAAGTTACCCAGGAAGACCATGGAAATATTTGCAGAGAGGTCAGAATCAGAACGACTGAGTATCATCAACATAAATTATAATCTAAGTAATACACTTGGGAAGAAATGATGAAGGAAGAGAAAGTAGAGTTGGAATCTGAACTTTGGAGCTGGCTTCCAGTTATAAGACAGAAAAGGAGGGCAGAAGGCAACCCTTTGGAATTCAAGTGGAAAGTAGTACAATTTAGTCACTTAGTAAATGTACAAATGTGAGGTTAAGGAGAACAAAACTGAGAACAAGAAGACTTCTGGAAACCCTCCAGAGACCTGATTCATTGCAATGGGAGAGGCCAAAACCAGATGTTAATGGGTTGAAGAGGATGTGTGAGACAAAAAAGAACAAAGAGCAGTGTCCACAATCTTTGAAAAGCTTAACTCTTAAAGGGATGATTACAAATAGAATTAAAGCTAAAAGAAGACCAAAAAAAATTCCTTTTGTTATAATAGGACTTCTTGAATAATTTTCTAAGAGCAATCAGTGAGAGGGAAAGTAAGAGTTGAAAAGAAAGAAGAGAACATATTCTTGTGTGACTTGTGCTTTAACATATCTCGAATGCCCAGATTGGTTCGTTCTGCTCTTAGGCTGCTTTTGACCCCGCAAAGTTAATTTAAACTGCCCCTGATTAGTTATAATGGTTATCTGCCACTGTGTCTGCCCACCAACTAAGAGTCAGAATAAATTTTTAGGGAAGATTAAGGATTACCTTGGAATTTAGCCCAGGTTGTCTGTAAGCTTTTATTACAAACCTCTGATGAAAGTAAATAAATTACCTAACTGGTAACATACAAGAACATTATGTTGAAATATTATCCCCTTAAAAACAAGTTTAGGTAAAAATGACTCTAGTAATAAATTTTGTAAACAAATCATTACACTTTTGGACTGGTGGTCTAGTTGTATCTAGATAAAGTTTTTTACTCTCTCTCAAATTTAAATGAAAGAATTTGAGCAGACATCTAAGTAATAGCCTGTTTATCCCCAAATTATGTTTTAAGACTATCATTATTATTCAGATAGTGTAAAATATTTCTACCATTTCTAAGGATAGGCATTACAAAGCAAATTTGAAAGCAGAAGTTATTGCCTTCTAGGTCCAAGATAAGAATATGCTGTAAGAATATAATCAGGATACAGGATCTGCATCCACAATATTCATGTCCTTGTATCAAAAAGTAAAGGAGCTATATAGCATCTGAAATAATTTTGTCTTTTTTTAATTATTTATTTATTCATACAGAACTGGAGTACAAGCCAGAGGTGCAGGGGCAGTGAGAGGATTCACCAGAGACAGAGTGGGGAGCAGAACAGGCCGATTGACAAAGTACACTGCTGAGGGGAGTAGCAGGCAGGTCAGGAGAGGTCTGCTGCACCATGTGGGTCACCTCCGGGGCTAGGGATCAAACTCATGTTAAAGTGGCTTTAGCTTCTTAGTGCTGTGCTTTAACCCGCTGTGCCACCAGGGAGGGCCTTGTAATAACTTTCAATGTAATTCTGGAGGTAACTTTCAGCCACCAAGACTAGAGAGCCATCATATGGATGGGTCACTATTTTTTTTTTTTTAATTTGGATTTTGTAGTAATATGTCATTATCAGCAAATATTTTCTGGGAAAGGGCTTTATATTCATTTTACCACAATAAAGACTTTTTAAATAATTTAAAGTCATAATTTTGACAGAAGACATTTCAAATGGAATCATCCCAAATTGTTCTTTTAACATTTTAGGAAAGTTTAGAACTTAGTTAAGATTTGTTGTTCTGTGGTAATTCTGCGGGGGGTGAAGGGGATATGTCCTTTTTCTGAGTATTATGGCCTCCTTCAAAAAGTCTGCTGAATATAGGAGTTTAAAAACATCAATATAATTGAATTCATCTAGTCTATAATGCTTTGCAGACAGTTTTTGGAAAGTTATCATTTATTATCCACAAGCAAATAGAATTCATTTATATAGTTTCCACACTGAGTGTGGGATTAGTCATGCAGGAAAGTACTAAGTCATTTGACCAGAAAATTTACTCATAGTTGCATGAACTGCCAATGGAAAATTCAAGAGCTGTGAATAAATCAAATTATAAAACTCTTAGAATTATAAATCACTGAACAGTATTCTTCATTATTATTCAGATAGTGTAAAATATTTCTACCATTTCTAAGAATGGGCAATTTACAAAGCAAGTTTGAAAGCTGAAGTGATTGCCTTTTAGGTCCAAGATAATAATATAAGTTATAGCCATTTCCACATAATAAATGGAAAAGAAAAAAGAAGTAAGGCAGAAGATTTATGTTTTCATAGTAAATATGTAATGAGATGACTAAAACCTTGATTAATATCTTAACAAAATGATAGTTAAATTTTCTTCATTTCTCTCAATAATCTTTGTAGGACTTTCACATTAAATATTTTGTGCTGTTAGATTTGTATAGTAATGTATCAGCTTAGAAAGAATATGTCACTAAAAGAGAAGAGGTAGCAAGTATCCTAGACAGAAAGAAGAATTATAAGGAGTATCTGATGATTAATAAAAGAGGTTTGAGTAACACACATTTCCAAGATTCGTGAAATTAAAAAAATGTAATAGCATCCTTTGGACATAGGAACAGAAAGAAAAGTGCTTTAAAATGTCTTTATAGCCCACAAATACTTTATCAAGTACAAAAGGGAAATACCACAGTATATCCATAGTTTATATTTTAAAGGGGACAGTCAAAAAAACCTAAAGTCTATTCTTTGTTTGCCCAGCCTCCACTACAGGAATTCTTAACCTGTAATGCAAA